GGAGCCATCTCCAGAGGGGGTTTATGAGTCTGCCTATCACTGGCTGAGCTTCCCCCAGTGTGGATGCTGGCCCCCCGCACTTCCGGATTGTGTAACTTCCTCCCACCGCAGACATGGAGGGAGCCAGAAATTATGTTCCCAGGCCTTCCCAGACCAGAAGTGAAGTGTGGCTTTGTGCATATAGGACTCGGTGTGTGTCAGTGCTTGAGAAATCAGACAGGGCACGGGTGGTCATGGTCATGGTGAAGTCTGGGAGGAGGGTTTGAAGAGAAGGTGAAGACAGGTTCTGAGAAGTCATACAGAGTTGGTGTCCCACGGAGCCCACTCACGGTACCTCTCTTAGATGTTCCGTTGTCATCTTTTTGTCTTGCATCCTATGATATGGGTTCTCCTTCTTTTCTCCTGTGGGAATGAGTGCACCTTTACTTCTTTCCTGCTTGGGGGAGAAAGTCACAAAGTAATGGGCCCTTCTCTCCCTGAACCTCATGTCTAGTTGTTATCTTCTGTAAGGTTTCAGCTCACGAATTAGCGACCAAGCCTCAGGCCCCACCGCTGTGGTTGGCTTGAAGCCATAAGGGACATTCATCTTCTCTCCCCTTTATTAACCATGTCAGGCTTCCCTTACCCTCACTGTGGCCTGTCTGGTTCGTTACCTGGTGAGAAGACCCAGTACCATGATTGTTGCAGGTCTAAACACTTGAGTTAACTCCTTTTGCTGTCTTTTATTTGTTATATTTTTCCCAAAACAGTTACTGCTGGGCCATGGAAGTTCAAAGAGGCTTCCATGCCATCCTTTTCCCTGCCAGCCTCCTCGATGCTGGCCACCTGACCCCTTCATGGTCATTAGGGTCAACATTCCAGCCAGTGGAGCAACTGGCTTTTCACTCATGGATCCTTTGCCATGAGGAGCTAAAGGTGGCCAGGAGGTAGATGTAGCTTCCACTGTAGTAGGATTCACACTGTATTCTGTGGCATGTGCCTTCCCCTCTCCTGGGAACACTAATCAGCAGGATGCTAGATTAGGGCATCAAGAAGAGCAAATACTGAACATGGGTCATTAGATGTGGTAAGAAAAAGATGACTTCCACTCCACACAGTGGCACAGGGAGCCACTTGGATCCAGTGCGAGATCAGCTGGGGCCAAAACTCTTTCTCTTTCTTCACCTGGCTTCTCTGAGCTCCTAGACGAACCTGTGGTAGATGGTGGTGTTTTAGGTTTTCAATTATCAGTATCAGCTGAGACCCTATTTGCACCAAACCTTGAGAGTTCTGGATCATTCACTTTGCCCATTGCAGGGATGGCCAGGAGAATACCTGTGTCTCTCTTTAGAGAAGGATCAGAAGAATGTTTATGGGTTTGCACAGTCCTTCCTCAAGGGGCAACTTTGCATGGCGCTGGTTTCTGTGTATTAGCTTTCCATACAGATCATGAGAATCATGTAGCCCTTTAGTCAGCTGTTTGCTCATCTGTCTGACTCCTAGGAAAATCATGGTCTATGATTCATTGCCACAAATAGACACTCATATTTCCACTCTAGTCTTGCTGCTGTTGCCGTAATTACACTGGATTGGCTTGGCTTCTGAAGGTAGAGGATTGTCCTGACCTCTGCCTTTCTGTAACCCTGTGATCTCCAGTGACCATGGGGTCTCACTCTGATGGTCGTAGCTCTGCCAGTTCTGGCTGGCAGAGGACAACCAGTAAATTTTTAGGATGATGCTGGAGCTGTCCCTCATGGGTGCATCCTCATCCTCATCCTCAGGGATGCACACTATACATCTACTCTAGCTTTCCTCCAGCCTTCTGAACCCTCCTTCAACAATATACTATGAAAATTCTGGTAGTTTCACTTCTATTATTGGCCATCATTAAATCACACTTTAAGATGCTCCCTCGCAAATTTAGGGCTAACTCCAGGGATTCTTGACATCCCATTAAATCCCAAATCATGGGTGAGTCTGCCCATGCTGAACATCCTCTTCTGCTTAGTCTTCCACTTCACTCACTTCTGTGTATCTCCCCCCAGTTTATATCCCAGTCCATGTTAACCACGTATATGTATCCTGTTGCCATGAAAACAGTTTATTCCTGGAATAAGGCTATATTCCCCTGACTCAGGTTTTTGTCCTGGGGCTAAAGAGCTTTGTTGGGGATGAGGTTTGAGGTGAGCAAGAAAGCAATTGTGATGCACCTGCTCAAGGTGAGATTCTCGCACACACATGGTCTCCAAACCATGGGAGCCTGTCTCCTTTGCGCAGTGGGAAGGACTGTTTCTGCCAGCCAGGAGGGCTCAGTGGCACTTGGGGTTCATTGCCAAAATTTCTCCACCTTAAATTTCATGCTTCCCCTCCCACATCCCCCAGCACTGACTTGGTATGTATGAGCCGCTAGGAGCGCATTCGCCTTTCTTGTGTCTCAACCACCTTCTCAATCAGGTCCTCATCTTGGCCCTCTGCCCACTTTCATCTGGCACTCAGAGGCATGAAGCCCTCAAGTTGCCACAGAGACCTCCAACTTCTGAAGCATGTTAAGAGTTGGAAATCGACTCCCCTGTACTTCTCCATGTTTTGCAACCTCTCGAGAGCCATCAGAAGCACGCCACACTCACGACAGCACCCACTGCCTTCATATTGAGGAGAGTCCACACTGACCTACTCTCCCAAGAACTTGGCCTCTGCCTCCAAGCACCTCACTTAGCCCTTGGTGAAACCTAAGCAAAGTTGATGTCACTGCTTGCCAAAGGTCATTACTGTCCTGTTGGTTGTTACCATTCATAAAGAGTTCCTACGGCTTTCGAAGAGGTGAGCAGTCCTGCTGCTTTGTAGAAACACTTCTGGCTGTCCCGATTGCTTTAGACTGAGTCCTCAACAAAGAGAGTCCAAGGAAAATATTAATGTGTGTGCAATTTATTTGGGAGTGTTCAGCCCAAGGGAGAAAGGGTATGGATAGGAGGAAAGTGTGAGAAGAGGCACGTGACACAATGTTCCCGTGTGTTACTGGACAGGACACCACTTTGCTAAGAGCCAGGAAAAGACCCTGTGGGTTTGTTGCAGCTGTGTTTTGAATGTGGAATTCCAAATTAAGCAAGGGGGGAAGACACGTGCACACAGCCCAGCACATTCATGGGGGCAGAAGGAGGGCTGGTGGGTGTTCCTGCTTCCCCTCATCTTTCCTCTCTGCTTGTTCAAGAATGACCCTTGGAGCCCATTCTTCCAGAGTGCTGAGCTGCAGATTCTGAGCCCTCAGGGACTCCCAGGGTGCCACATGCTATATCCTGTGGCCCTTCACCTACATCTAGAAGTGGAGGGGTCAGCATGTGGTGGGTGAAGGTCATGAGACCCAGGTCTCAGTCAGACTCAAGAGAGACATGACAGTTGAGACAGCACAGTTCAGGACTGTAGTGGAGTCTTCAGGAACATGGGGTGAGTCTGAGAAAATCTGAGCATGGGTATGAGTTTTTTGTCTACACAATAGCAATGAATTTTTTCAAGTTAGTGGAGGAAGTGGAATCTCATCATGAGTCACATCTTAGATCGGTTCTAATGTGGCGAGAGTTAATCATGATGATACAGTTAGTTTCTGCAGGAGGGACAGTTTCTTCTTGGTAATGTCAATTTGAGGTTTTCTTCCTAATCAGTTCATTGTTTTCCTGAAAGAGTTGGCATAGACCAGGACCACAAAGTGAAGGTGTGAAAACTAGAATTTAGACTGACAGGTGCCACCACCGGCTGTGAGGCCATAGATGAGCCACCCCCCACTGTGTCTCAGTTCACTCATTGTGAATCCAATGGAGAGGCCTCCAACATCGCCTGAGTTTTCTTCAGCCTTGTGATGCAGGTGCATATGTGGCTATAGCCTCTGCCGGCCAGTGTACACCCTGGAATTCTTCTCAGTCTAGGGAGTCTGGCATTTTGATTTTAGATTGATATTTGCTAGTGGGTTAAACAAAATAAAGTGCATTTGAAGAAATCTTAGCATCTATTCTGAACCCTTTATTTAGGAGAGGAGGGTATTATGAGCTGTAGCGCTTCTGACTGTCCAAGAAGTACATGGAGGTTCTCTTAAGAAATCTTTCCTTTGCTTATTGTTTAGAGAGTAAATGTGCCAGCAATTTTCCCTAAGTAGCAACGAACTAGCAAGTTCTGTGGGAAATTAAAAATAATAACAACAAAGACAAGAAAATTTTGCTTGTCTTTATAGTCTGAAAAGTGTCTTATACCTAAGTACCCCACTAAACATTAATTACTAAATAACAATGACATGAAGACTGGAGATTTTAGCAGTAGAGTAAAAGATGATGACCACCTAGACAACACACACTGAAATTGCAAGGATAAAACCACACCTCGTGTACTCTCTCCAATCACCTTTCCCCATGGCTCAGTACTGAGTAGGGTGATTTTTAAGAAGACAACATCAGATAATGCTGTTCTCTTTCCACAGAGATATCCATACGTTCCCTCTAGATAAAAATTTATCTCAGCCAATGGAGTCGACCAATATGAATACTGATGAGGGAAAAAGTGATACAAAAACACTACAGTTCTAGAAAATGAAAAAGCAATATGTTTTCAGAAATTGGTTTTGAGGCCCTAAATTTGTATGTTGAGGATGTATGTGTGTGTGTGTAAAATAGGATAGGATAAAGATTTAGAGAGAAGGAAAGATAGATGATAGATAGATAGATAGATAGATTAAACATATGGCTACAACATTAATGTCATCAACTCACAAAATATTTGGATCGGAAGTAATCTTCCAATTACTTAGGGATCTTCCAGATAAATCTCTTAATTTTAGTGAAGTTTGAAGTGAGATTCAGAGAAGTAGCTTGATAATTAGGAACAGATACACAATGACTATTTAATTTTCAAGACTTGAAGACATTTGCTTTAATTTTTTCCAAGTATGAAAAATAGTCACTAATAAATTAATAATAATAAACTAATCAATTGATATGTGAATAAAAAGTCTTAGTTTAACAAAAAGTAGGGGCTAAATATTCATGTGTTTTATAACTTCTTTATTTGGATCCTTTTTTTCCATTATTTAGCTTGTAGAAACTGTCTACCTAAAAGTTGAAATACTAAATTCCCCCACGTGTGTTCTGAGAGACTGAACTCGCATGATAACTGCGTCCTTGGTGTTCCAAAGTTTTCTAGAAAAAGATGAACAGGTCATTTAGTTGAAGACCAGGCATCTATTTTGGTTCTTCTTTTCAGATGCCCCATGTTCTATTCCAGCTCAGTTATGGTATCCTGTGGACTGAAAGTGAAAAGTCTATTATTAAAGCTTACAAACTTTATACTCAAACCGTATAGTTTTATAGCAAAGATCAATGATCACAAAATATAAAGGACACAGCAATATACTCTGGAGAATTATATCACTTGAAACTATAACTGTTTAGGAAAAAAAGTGCCAGGATAGCCACAAAGTGATGGGAAGGAGAATATATTACAGAGTCAGGCTGTCGTAGCTAAGACTGCTGTCGCTGTTGGTTGGCTCTGAGTCTAGTCCTTCAAGGCTAGAAGGACTACACTGCAAATTTCTTCTTTTGATGACTAAGTTAATGTCTATATTGTGGGGTTTTTAAACGTCCCTATTTATATGGATTTCAACTTAGGGTTTTTCTGTTTTTTGTTTGTTTGTTTGGCAAAGCCCCACCTCTCCATTGCAGCCAATCATTCCTTTTAAAACGTATTCACACACACATGCACACAGAGGAATTAATAATACACTAAATTATGCATTTCCTTGTGAAGCTTTGAAAAACAGTTGCCAAAGTATTTCTGAAGTCAGAGTGATACTGGAAGATTCTATGAGAGAGCCCATTGGAACCCAGGTCATTGCTGGAAGAATGGACAGAAACTGCTCTCAGGAAAAACAAAGACCTTGAAATTTTCAGTGCTATAAACCCTTCATTTTCCCCACACTTTTGATTTCCCGTTTATAAGCACCATCCAGGCAGTTGAATACTTTGCAGTTAACCATTCTGGCTCTCCCATAGCATATGGCAGGCATTCACAGAGGTAGCAGAGCACTCACAGTCCCTGAAATGCCCTGGGTTCGTCCCAGTGGAAGGTTCTTCCTCTGCAGCACACGGCTCTCCAGCGCTGGCCTCTCCTCAGCAAGGTCGCTCCCTGTGGCTTGTTTCCCCTTTCAGAGACTGTTCCCAGCATGTGCTTTGGGCCATTGTCCATGAAAGAGAGAAACAATCTGAGTCCCAGAAGATGTCATCATAGGAGGAAAAGATCAACTCCATGGCTCTCTCTGTGGTGCCCAGTAAGGAAAGGTGCCTGTAAACGTGCCTGTGCTTTTCTAGGGCAGTTTCCTGAACAGGTCCAGGTGCAATGGTGAGTAGAAGTCACTCACATTTCGAGCCTTGGTCTGAGGCATTTTGAAGGCTAAGGCCATCATTTTAGGTCAAAAGAGGTTTCATGAAATGTGTAAAAATAGGAAATGAGGAAAGTGTGGCGAGCTGGTTATCTACTCGGGAGTTTTCTTGTCAATGTCAGCAAGAGGAGTCAATGCAGTCAAAGGAGGACTCATATAACTGGCTGCTCTGGCTCACACGTAGACTCCGTCGTGCCTGCTCTTCAATCGGCCGGAGGGATGTGGCCACTTGTACACCCAGGTGGTCTAGGTCACTCCCCTGAGTCCTACCATACAATGAAGGCCTTCACCATCAAACCAACTGCACCAGATTACAGCGAGTGGGAGAATCTGGAAGCATTTGTCTTAGTCAATGTGGTGTGTTTACTGAGAGCAGGGTACATGCAATTCGTCCACAATGGCCACAGCTCTCAGAGGCATGGCATCGACACAGCGAGGACACAGCCAGTGGGAGGGCAGGAGCAGGGTTCGTATCATCTGTCCACACATTAGGTTAATGAATAAAATAATGGATGATAGAGTGGGGACACCTTTATTCTCTGACCATGAAACCCGGCCATGTATCAGAGAGCATCGTAGCCCCTGGGACCGGCACCGAGCACTTCTCTGTTGACTGTGGTTCCTGTTTACAGTGGTCCCACATCCACTTTTCCTTTCAGCCTCAATAACACCATGTCTGTGTATCATTTAGTTGCCACAAGCTTCTTAAAATTATTAAAGGGACATGACTTATTTAAGCAAACTATATTAATAAAATTGTGAGAAAGAGAAAATGATGGCAGTAGCTATATTCAAAAATGAATCTTGGTTAATATTGTATGCAATTATATACAATTCTATGCAAATTGTGTCTTCTATATAGTTATTTCAAATACATATTTAAAGTTGTTCTATATATAATTAAAAAGGTTTTATCTGGTCTTTATGAGCATCTTAGCATCATTGTTTCCATGCCCAGTGTGAAACACCTTGAAATCCATCACAGAAGGCTCACCTCCAAGGAGGGCACTCTGTTCACTTCCTCTAACAAGGTTTTCACTGCTCCTCATGGTTATAGCTGGTTCTTATGAGTTCAATATATGATAAGCTATTTAAAACTGATGAATCAATATCCTAGTGCTCCTAGGAAATACTTATCTTCAAATGGTGGTATCTTTATACTTCAGTTTAAGAAACAGCTTTGAGATACAAGATCCACATATAATAGATGTACAATTAGGGAGGAATTTTTTCAGTAGGTTGGAGTGTAGTTTATGGCTTTTTTGGTATTCATCATTTCTGAAATAACTTTTTTTTTTTGAGACGAAGTCTCGTTGTGTTGCCCAAGCTGGAGTGCAGTGGCATGATTTCAGCTCACTGTGACCTCCGTCTCCCAGGTCCAAGTGATTCTCCTGCCTCAGTCTCCCGAGTAGCTGGGACTACAGGCGTGCACCACCATGCCTGGCTAATTTTTGTACTTTTAGTAGAGATGGGGTTTCACTGTGTTGGTCAGGCTGTTCTCGAACTCCTGACCTTGAGATCTGCCTGCCTCAGCCTCCCAGTGTATCGTGCTGGGATTACAGGCATGAGCCACCGCACCCGACCAGTAACTTCATTTTTGATGATTAGGTTAGGAATCATTTTAACAATTTAGTACTTCAGTTTGAGGCACATATTTATACACACACACACATATAAAGCTATGCCAGCTAATATGATTTTGTGTTTTAAACTGAGGTACTGAATTTGTTTAAAATGTTTTATATGTATATATCATACACATATATATTATATGTGTATCATATGTGTGTATGTGCGTGTATATATACATATATGGATGTGCAAACATGTGTGTGTATGTATATACACACGTGTATGTGTGTATGTGTATGTATATACACACGTGTATGTGTGTATGTATATGCATATGTGTATATGTATATGGGTCTGTATGTATATATGTATATGTGTACATATACATATATGAACTTATTTAAAATGCTTTATATATAGGATACACATATATAAAACATTTTATCATATGTGTACACATATGATAACCCACATTAGGCTACCAGATTCAACCCAGGTAGCCTAATTCCAGGGTCTGTACTTTTAAACAGATCCTGTGCTACTCTGCCTCTTTTGTGCTTTGGGAACCCCACAGAGAGAACAAATGAAAGGCCTTTTCACTCTTTTTTGGACCTTGCTAGGACACACACACAGTTCAATACTCTCAGATTCTGAAAGAACTTTATAAATCTATCCATGGGGATAAAGGCTTACTGAAAGATAAGATTTTTATTTAAAAATCATAATTACTGATATTGTGTTTCTTATTAGGTTTTTTTTGTTATTGTTTTTTTGAGACAGAGCCTTGCTCTGTTTGCCAGGCTGGAGTGCAATGGCACGATCTCGGCTCACTGCAGTTTTTGCCTCTTGGGTTCAAGCAATTCCTCTGCCTCAGTCTCCCAGGTCTGGGACTACAGGTGCGTGCCACCATGCCCGGCTAATTTTTTGTATTTTAGTAGACACCGTGTTTCACCATGTTGGCCAGGATGTTCTCGATCTCCTGACCTCATGATCCACCTGCCTCAGCCTCCCAAAGTGCTGGGATTACAGGCATGAGATACCATGCCTAGCCTATTGTTTGTGTTTTAAAAGGCACATAGAAGGCACAAGCAAATGAAACTTATAAGCAGCAATTAAGTTTCATGGAAGTGTTTTCCTCTCTACAGTCGTAAAATCAGACAATGTGTGGAGTAACCAGTTCTTGATGTGTTGAGCCAGTCGTCGTCTTTGGATTTTGTTTACAGAGGACTCATCAGGATCTCGTGTGCGATCACATCACCTGAGCAGCGGGAGACATCCAGCAGTTCAAGGGAGAGAGAGCCCCGGGTTAGCCAAGGATTTGGAAATAATCCTCAGGCACGTCCCTGTGGATCTGTCTTTCTGGGTTATTTGAAATGTCCTGTTGTTTTCTCATCAATCATGTGCAGCATCCACAATACCCTGATTCATAGATTTCCCGCCCTATATTTGAATGCCAGCTATTTTTCAACATGCTTTGAAAGAATATAGTCTACTTTAACAAAATACTGTTTGAAAGGTTTTAGCAGAGCTAAAATCTCTTACCCAATAGCCTCCAATCATACATTAGAAAAAAAAAAAAGTCCATAACACAAAATAGACCCAGGCTCTACTCCAGGCACGTTGTAGATATTAACCAATTTAATGCTCACACGAGTCTTCTTAGGAAGGCACTATTACCCACATCTCACAGATGAGAAAACTGTAGGACTTAGAGAGTTTACAAGCTTTCCCCAAGGTTAGCATAGTTGATAAGTGGCAGCCAGGTTCAACCCAGGAAGCCTAATTTCAGGGTCTGCATTTTAAACAGATCCTGTGCTACTCTGGCTCTTTTGTGCCTTGGGTGCCTCACAGAACAAATGAAAGGTCTTTTCTGTAAGACTGAATATTGCAGTATTCTAGGAAATTACAGCACCCCAAATGGCAACATCACTAGCAAGCATATCAAAGCAGGAAGTGACCACAGACAAGTAAGGCTGAGATTCTGAAGGCATAAACCAAAGAGTTGATTCAACCCTTCGCTATGGGGTTCAATAGCTCTAAATAGCATGATTTGACTCACCTGTTTTTGAGCCTGTGCATCAAGGTGATATGTTTGGCTGTGCCTCCACCCAATATCTCACATTGAATTGCAATCTTCCTAATTCCTACATGTCAAGGGAGAGACCAGGTGGAAGTAACTGAATCATGGAGGAGGTTTCCCGGCAAGTTGCTAGTGAGTGAGTTCTCGCGAGATCTGATGATTGTATAAGGGGCTCTTCCCTCTTCACTGGGCGCTTCCATTTCCTGTGCCTTGCGAAGAAGGTGTCTCGCTTCCTCTTCTGCCGTGACTACGTTTCCTGAGGCCTCCCCAGCCATGCTGAACTGTGAGTCAATTAAACGTCTTTTCTTTATAAATTACTCAGTAGCGGGCAGTTCTTTATAGCAGTATGAAAATGGACTAACACACAGGGTTACCTGGTGAGCTTAAAACTAGTGCAAATGATTAAGTCTTGCACTCTGGAAATTTTGATTCCATAAACTCAGGCTAGACTCAGGAATCTGCATTTAAAGAAAAAATTCTCTGGGTAAATAAAATGGACTCCAGTTTGGAAACCACTGAACTCCCTAATGTAGTCTTTCTCAAATTCTGATCTGCAGAGAGCAGTATCACCTGGAGCTTGTTAGAAATTCAAATCGTCAGTTCCCTCCCTGGATTTACTGAATCAGGAACTCGGTTTGTGATAGACCCCGCAGGTGATCCCACTGCTTGTTCAAGTTTGAGAACCATTACCCTTACTTGAAAACAAATCCCCAGGGGTCACAGTGCATTAGCCTAGACATCAATTCTCTAAAGAATAATATTAGTGCTCAATGTTCAGTGTGACTTTGTATTACAGATCCTTCTGAAATTCTTTTAAAATCATGCTTCAGTATGTTTACCCTCTGTAGGAAAAGGAAACCATGTTGCATCTAACATTCTCCAGAGTGATAGTTAAGACAAAAGAAGTCTTACTTTGATAGAGTGTGGAAAACCCAGTAGAGTTGTTTTTTAATCCTCCTGGAATTCAGTCATTATTAGAAGTTATACATTTAGTTAAAAAAAAATTCCTTATTTGTGATTCAAATGAAACAATACTTGAACAATAAGGCACCATTACTTTTCTCTGACCCAAGATAGTACAAAACCTTCACAGGTGCTAATTAATCTCCTTACCGTTTCTGGGAAGTAGAGGTCAAGAATACTGCCCTTGTTACATGTGAGAGGAAATAGAAGGACGTGAACAATTGTCATCTAATTTGTATTCACTTCCCAACAATTCGATAATCATGTTCTTTCCATTTTTAGCCTACTCTTTAGTAACAGAGTTGATTTTTAGTGGCTAATTTCTTATTTTTAGAAGCATTAATTTGTAATTAACCATTGGACACATCTTAAGTATGTTATTTTGGCTTACAGTTTATAACAGCCTGTAGCTAAGATTTAAACATTATTTTGTGCCATAATAAATTAAAAGAACTAAAATACCTCCCTGAAAAGAGATTCACTAATTGACAATAATCTTTAATCATTTGACATATATTTATAGAACATACTCCAAAGCAAGTAAACCTTCTTTCGATCATCCAGTCCAAAATTCCAAATGCCAATATTGTAATTTTCAGATATATGAAGTTGTTTTTCTAAATATCTCGCTGTTTTTTGCAGTGTTAATATAGAGTAGTATTAACATGTGCTGCACAGGACACAATGGAAATTCAGCACATGTTAATAAATGTACCTGCCACTCCCTCTCCCCAGAAAGATACACAGATAGAAAGCCAGACAGATCATAAATGATAGACAGGTAGGCATGTTGATACAGATAGGTAATAGATTTTAGGTAGATAGATAGACATATAGATGATAGATAGATCATAGATGATGGTAGATAGATGATAGATACACAGATATATAGATTATAGATAAGCTTAACATTCCTTAACGTTTATTGGGCATACAGAATACTCGCAGAAGTATTCTTCTCATTGTGTGTGTGTGTAAATATTTTAGGTCAATTGCTAATTAGATATGTACTTTGGGACCGCAATGTTAAGTCAGCTGACATTGAGTTGTTTGAATTATCTTGGGAGTGTTTAAATCAATCTACCAGTAGGCCGAGATTCTCTGTACTCGTCCAACATTGTCCTAGGATTGTGAAGAGTCCGCTGGGAGCCTTTCACGTGTTTCACTGATTCTGGCTTTTCATCAACAGTGCTATCACCAAGGGCCCTCTTCCCATTGATTCATGCAACACACTCTTGTTCAACACCCACCATTGACTGGCCACTGTGCTGAATGCTGAGCATTAAAAGATCAAGAGAGATAATGGTCCAGTTGGTGAGAGCACAGACGTCAAGTCCACAGACTGCATTTCCTTGTCACAGTTCATCTGTCACTCCTGACTTTATCCATGTTATTGATGCAGTTTGGAAGTGAAGAGTCTGGGCTCATGAGCCAGACTCCTTCTGCACTTATGGGTCCTGAGACCCTGGGCTCTTATGTAATCTCTCGGTAAAGTAAAATGAGGATAATACGACTATTCCACTCAGCAGACTGTTTTATCCTATTTCCCGTTTAGGGAAAACAAACAAACAAACACAAAAAACAGTGCAGCTCAGTGCCAGGGCTCATTTCTTAAGGCAAATGGGAAAGGGGTTAAGGGTTCTCTGAGTTAATGCATGCCGAGTTCTTAAAGAATATAGGAAGGTTTCATGAATGTAGCTCTTGTTATTACTTTGTGAAGATGTCCATGGCACAGGCGACACTGACTTGCAGAAATGACTGGCTGTGCTGAGCACCTGCTCTGCAGAAGGCTCTGGAAGGACACCTGGCCTGCTTGCTATCCGTGTCCCTTTAGAGCAGCACGCTGCCTTTTTGTTTTTCTACAACTGAGACCCTGGACATTTTCTCTTCTGTCTAGGATGAAAGTTATTTTTAGTCTGTTTTTGTTTGTTTTTGGAGAAGTGGGCACACACGCACGCTGATTTTGTAAGATCGTCTTGGGCAGCATTGGGGCAGTGGGTTTTCCCCACCGAGGAGACAAAAGGCGATGTATACCATGATCCCTGTGTCATCTGCACCTCTCTGAAAAGGCCGAGAGGCCTTCCTTAAATTCTATGGAATCTTTAAGTGATTTAAGAAATATGCTCTCCGGGCTGTCCTGAAATACAAGAGCTCAATTTTGCAGACTTAGTGCAGCAGTTCTAATCTATGCAGTTGGAAAGAGAATGCCATTGCTCTCTGCAAAGCTGTGAGATCCGTGCAGTCCAGCATCTACTTTCATGCATCGCAGGAAGCTCTATTTCCATTCCTGACAAGCCCATCTCCGGCTCAAACTGTGAGGAAAGAGAAGCAGTTCCTGAGTGAGGCCGTGACAGGGAGACAGCTACAACAGGTGGCCAGGCGGGATGGGGAAGTAGCGCTTGTTGATGTCTTCAAATTCAGTGCTTATGAATTTCAAAATGTAAACATTTTAAGGCAAATTGGGAGGAGGGAATTAAGTTTGATTTTTAAAAGTAAGCAAGGAGGAAAGGGTTCCGGGCAAATCTATCCCCTTTCCTCACCCTTCTCCTCATGAGGGCCCCTGTGCGCCTTTGCCTTCCTTGTGAGCAAGGTGTCGATCCACAGCAATTTCAGGTGCTCTGCACTCACAGCCAGAGACCGTGGAAATGGAGCTGTCAGCCCTGAAAATAGAGATGCTCTGGTAGAAGTTAAATAACAAAACCGTAGAAAGCACACTGCTCTCCGTAGGTCCCTGGCTATAATATTATTCATACCATCTTCCTTTTGCACCAGGCTGCAAACTCATCTTTTAAAAACAATTGTCAATATATGTAGAACTGCTGGAGCTAAACCTGCAGGTGAGAGCTGGGATTGAGGCACCTTTACAAAGCTAGTGCTCTCTGATTCCTCTCTGTTTAAAGTCCATGAAAATGAAAGACCGATAGCCTTCCCCCTTTCCAAGCAAAGCACTTTAGTGGCTCATTATTTTTGATTGTTGGGGTCCATGGAGGATTTTATTCTGCTCTAACAGGTAGATTTCCTTTACTCTTAGCTCATTCCATCCCACTTGCTGCAGGATGGGTGGATGGAGATTTTCTGCAGCATTCTTGGTAGGAGGCTGTCTAGCAACTGCTTTGGAGTCTCTGGCCTAACATTTGCTGAGGTTCTATTATGCCTGCATCATTGTCCTGGGTTCTTTTCAATTGTCATCTTGTTTTGTGATCCCCCAGATGTAGGTGGCCTGGTGTGCTCACTTAGCCAACCTAGAACTGAGGTTTTGAGCCTAAAGACCTTGCTCAAGTTCATAGAACTGGCAAAACAAACCTCAGTGTGCCCTAAGAGCCTTGGGACACCGTGTGCGCTAAAGAAAATGTCATTTTCTTTTTGTCCAAAAAATAGTCATTATAAGACACTGTTTCCCTCAGTCAGCCTTATATTTCCCTGGCTTTTTTATTTTTATTCTTTCCCATGTTCCCTGGTTTTCATCTTTTTCACTGTACACTCTAAATCAATGGTCTACAACTTTTATGACATTAAAGATCTTTTATCCTCCACTCCAAGAACTTTCTGTTGAGGAACATTTCCTGTTCTAGCAGATGGATTAATAAGGAGTTATTCATCTCTCCATTTTAAAGATTTAATAGTTTACAATGATAGACATGTCTAACCACATATAGTTGAAATAATTCTGGTAAAAAAAAAAAAACGGGCATATCCTATGGGATTCAAGTTTCAATACTTCTAAGAGTTTTTCAAATATTGCAAATAAAGAAACTGACAGTACTAAGTCTGAGATTTCTAAGGGGTTCCTAAGCATTGCCATATAAAATTTTTCCCGTATTTCATTTGCTGTCATTGGCTACCTTTGTGATGGAAAATAAAATCACTGTCACTGGAACCAGTCTTGCCTGCCCCTTCTCCCTTACGTTCCCTGACAGCCTCTCCTCCTTCCTGGTCCAGATTTGTCATGATGCCTGCTGCTTCCTTCTTACCATTTATCACATCTCCTCTCCCGCCATTCTCCTCTATATGCACACTGCCCTCCAGCAAGATCAGCTGGTGCACCAGAATAATGTGAAATTGAAGATTAATTATTGAAGGGATACTTACCACAGGCTGATCTGGGAGGGTGTGATTCGCGTTTAACCACAGCAGTTTTACTGCTCCTTTCCACTGT